AAGGTGTGAGCGGCTGACGCCGGGAGAGCGGGGGGAGGGGAGGACCAGCTCGAGAGGACGGCAGAGGACGGACGGACAGGGAGCTCGCAGCAGCAGCAGCAGCAGCGGGACGGACGACGGTGGAGGCAAGCAGGGGCTCACCAAAACCTCCAGGACAGACAGACGGATGGACAGACAGAGGCCAGGGCCGCAGTTGCCGAGACACCTGGAGCCTTGGGGCAGGCGTCAGGCGCGGGCTCTCGAGTCCCCAGCCCTGAGCCACTGCAGACCCCTGGGCCCATGCTCAAGCAAGCCGAGCCTGGCGGGTCACCCAAGGTGAAGGAGGTCCCTGGTCAGGGACGGGCGCTGTGGAGCGTGGGGCCCGGCGGCGCTGTGGGGAGCCCCCCTGGGTGCACTGTGTGTTCAGCTCCACGGAGCACCGCACGGCAGGGACCAGGCCGCAGTGTTGGGGGCCCCACACAGCCCCGACAGCACGGTGGGAACCCATGTGCCGTTTGTCCCCACCGAGGATGACCCGGCGCCTGCCCCCCAGCCCCCACTCGCCTGTCCACGGCCCAGGACCGAGGTCAGGAGAGAAGCCGCATCACAGAGGCCTGGCCCCTCCAGGAGAGCGCACAGGGACCGTGGGGTGCCGCCCTCACCTCCTCTATCCTTCCACGCTCCCGGCAGCCTCGATCCCACCCGGGAGCTCAGCCGCCCGCTCCACAGCCCTTCCTGCTGGCGTAGCACAGGGCGCGTTTTAAAACTGTCCCGATTTTGGGGTAGAGAATGAGGTCAGGAGACCCAAGGGGGACAGTGCCTGTGACAGCCGACTCTCTTCCTCATTTCACCTTGAAATTCCTCCCCGGCCTGGGAAGCACGTCCCGAGCCCACTTCGCAGGGCTCCACTCTGGTGGGAGACGAGGAAGACAGGGAGCGAATGAGCCCAACGGCCCTGTGGTCACCGGGCCAGGCCCAGAGGACATGTGCAGAGTCTGGGGCAATAGGTACATGTAGACGTCTGACTTTTGCATGCGTGTGTGCTACTGTGGGGTTGAACCCAAGGCCTTTAAACTGAGCTACATCCCCAGCCCTTTATGTATTCATTTTTAAAATGTTGGGATAAGATCTCATCTACTGCCCAGGCTGGGTTCCAACTTGCAATCCTCCTGTCTCAGCCTCCCAGCGCGCTGGGATGAAGAGCATGTGCCACCACGCCTGGCCCTAAAGATTTTAAAATCATAAATAAAGTGCAAAAACCAAAACAAAACCCTGTCCAACAAGGTATGCTCTCACCCCTACCTCCATAAAGGCACCTTCTGCAGGGCCGGGACACTGGGCTCCGGTCCGGGCTGCTCTGCCTCCCGGGAGTTACGCATCTGAGTGACATGGTGGTATGCAGGGACAGCCGGAGGGTGACGCTAGCTGACACCCCCGGCAAGGACTCCCACGCACGTGCAAGGATAACAGCCTCCGTCCTAGGTCCGGGTTCTGTCCCACCCCAAGCTGTCTCTCCGGCCCTGGGGCACACACTGCTGGCAGTACGGGGACTGTGATCCGGAGTCCGGCTTGGCCCTCTGCCCTGTCCGCCCCTCATGGGACAGGGGGTGGCCCCAAAGGAGACCAGGCTCCCCCTGAGGCAGCGTGCTCGGCCCGGTGGGACTGAGCCGTCTTGCTAGCGGGGGGCAGGACTCCCCGTCACTAGTATTATTTATCTTCCTGGAAAAATTTGGTGAGGCTTGGTCCCAGCTTGGGGATTTCTGCAGGCGGGAAGGCCAGGGAGGTGACGCCAACGGGACATTTTCTTTTCAAGTTAGGCCTCCAAGCCAGAGCTTGTTCCAGGGAGGCAGAACCCCAAGTCGGCTCCCGCTGGGCACTTGTCCCCACACCGAGACAAAAGGCCACCCTGACAGCAGGCTGCAGCCGCGGCCGGGGTGAGACCCGCGCACCAGCAGAGGGCTGGGGTGGCGACAAAGGGCACCATCGCGCTCTCTGGCCAAGCTTTAAAAATCCTTCCACCCCTGCCACCCCCCGCAGATGGGCTTTGCTGTCCTGCAGGAGGGGACGAGGGGACCGGGGACGCTTAGGCGCGCTGAGCCCTCACCAGGCGCCTGGCAGCGCGCTAGGCGAGCGCTCTCCGCACGGCTTAGGTCCCGCCCCCACCCGGCGGGCGGCTGTCACTCTTCCACAGGTAAGGCGGCTGCCGGGGCGCTAGGGAGCCCCAGGCCGCAGTGAGGAAGGCGACCCCAGGCCCTCTGAAGAAGCCGGCACCGCGGCGGGGCGCGGGGGGCACCAGCAGAACTTCCCACGGTGAGGATCGCATCGGAGCGAGAGCCCACGGACGGGGACTCCGGACGGCTGTGGGAGCGGCCGCCGTCGGTCCAAAGGCGTGCGACGACCTCCGGGGGGCCAGCTGGTCCCAGGGGGAGCCCCTCTCGCCACTGCGCCCCAGGGGCCCGGCTCTGCGAGGGCAGTGCCCGCGGTGGGGAGGCCGCCCGCCCAAGCCGCAGCCGCTGCCCTCCCCAGCGCGCTCCCCTCGGTCCCGGCGCGGCCAGTCCCACCACAGCGGGTGCATGCGCGCCCCGACTCGGCAACAGGCGCGCGGCCCAGGTCCCCGCCGGCGCGCACCCCTCTGTACCCCGCGTGGTAAGTGCAGCGCGGGTGTCGGGCTCTAACCTCGGTGCCTGCAGAGCTGCGGCCATGGGGACCCCGGCCACCCCCTCAGTCACTCTGTCCTTGCGCCCCTCCGACTCCGCCTGGAAGGTCTACCGCGCTGCTCTGCGCGCCTGGGATGCCCAGTGTCCGCGCAAGGGTCCCCACGGTCTTAGGGCACCCCGATGGACAGGACCCCGGCCGGCAGGATGGGGGACAGCCCGCGTCGTCGTCTTACCTGCCGGGACGGGCAGCGCGCCGTGGCCACCTGCGCTCTCCAGGCTGGGAGCGCGGACACCCGGCAGGCGGCGGGGCCGGGCGGGGCGGGGGCTGCTGGGGGCGTGTTCAGGGTGGGCGTGCCTCCAGCTTGGCCGGGCCAGGAGCCCGAGCGTCTGAGCCTCTGCCCCTGGGTGGGGCCCAGCCGGGTCCTCAGGGCCGGAGGACCTCAGGACATCTCCCAGGACTGCTGCTCAGGTGCCCCCGACCCTTCCGGAGATGCAGGAAGTGCAGAGACCTCACCTGGCCGGAGCCCTAGCCCAGCTCTTGGAAGCCCGCCCAGCCGAGGGTGGTGCCTCACACCCGGAATCCCAGCACTGGGGAGGCTGAGGCAGGAGAATCGCATCCAGCCTGGATGACTTAGACTGTGTCTCAAAATTAGAAAAGGGCTGGAGAGGTAGCTCAATCTGAAGGCCCCGGTACAATGCCCAGTATGTCAATCAATTGATCAATCGATCGTAGGCTGCCCATCCCGGAGTCAGCTGCCTGGGACCTCGGGGCACTTAGGAGGCCGACAGAGGCCCAGGTCATCTCCCCACCAACCCCCAGCACCAGCTGCGGTCCCTCAGCTGTCGCTGTTTAGCCCTGGAATGACAGGCGTCCGGACTCCGTGAGTCCAGCCACATTCGAGGCCAGGGAGCTTAGCACCGGGCGCCCCCGCCCTCCCTCTGCCCGACTCACTAATTTTATTGACCCGTGAAAGGCACGTAGCGGCCAGTGGGAGGGGATGACAACTCCGGGCGCCAAGGGGAGTGGATGGGGTGCAGCGGCCCAGGAGGCAGAGATGTGACAGGGACAGCAGGAGGGGCGCCCCAGAGGCACAGGAAGCGGCCGGGGACCCAGCCCACACTCTCGGGGGGCGGGTGCGCAGGATAGGGTCTCAGCCCACAATCAGAAAAAAGAAAACAGTGCTGCCATCCACGCGGCGGGAGGGGCTGCCGTCCTGCCACACTCCCCCCTCCTGAAGGTGACTCCTGCCCGCTGAGCCTCTTGCTACAGAAATAGCCCTTTCCCCGAAGAATCAACCTACTTCTGCCTCCTTCTTATTAAAATGAGACCGGAAATCAGGCCTTTGTAATTCTCCCACCCCGCCCCCACCTGCGCCCACCCCTAGAGCCCAGTCTCCAGGGAGATGGCCCGGGACAGAGGGTGGGGACACAAGGCCTCCGGTTCTCTGATGGACCCAAATGGAGGCCTGCGTAGGTTTTTGCACCTGGGGCTCCAGTCCCAGCCTCCTGCAACCAGCAAAGCCTCCACCACTGAGGCCCAGCCCCCGTGCAGACTCTTTGGGCCGGGAAGATAGCTCAGCGGCACAAGCGCCTACCCGACAAGTGCAAGGTCCTGAGTTCGATTCCTGGTACCAAAGGAAACTAAAAGACTCTTGAAGCTTTTTCTCCATGAGGGCAGAAGACACCCATTCCAGAGGAGCGTTTTTACGTCCCTACATTACCACCCCACTGAGCTTGGGGACTGCGGCAACAGACCTCCAAAAGCATACTTTTCTGTTCTTTTTTTGAGACAAGATGTTGCTATGTAAGCCAGGCTTGCTTTGAACTCGGTGCAATCCTCCTGCATGAGGCTCCCAAGCGCTGGGATTACAGGTGTGCGCCCCTACATGTCTCTTTTTTACAGGAATACTTTTGGGGGTGATGCCAATGGTCAGCATACTGACTTACAGGAGTATACATGTTTAAACATATCCAGTTGCACACTATAAATACGTGCAGTTTATTTTCTATCAATTACACCTGAACAAAATGTGGTTTAAAACACCACACATTCAGCACTCTGGAGGCTGAGGCAGGAGGATCACTGCAAGTTCGAGGACAGCCTGGGCTACAAAGTGAGCTCAAGGCCAGCCTGAACTGCAGAGCGAGACCCTGTCTCAAAGACTGACTGACTGACTGACTGACTAAATAAATAAATAAATACCACACATTGCCAGGCGTGGTGGCCCATGCCTGTGATCCCACCACCTGGGAGGCTGAGGCAGGAGGTTCACCGAGTTTGAGGCCAGCCTGAACTACATAGCAAGACCCTGTCTCAAAAAAAAAGAAAAACCAACAAACTAAAACCAAACCAAACCCCACAAGTTTTCTACCCTGTTTTCCCATTTAATTTTTGAGGAGCCTCAAGAACCAGAAGTGGCTTTGGTGTGGAGGGTGTTGGGTCCTCGTGGCTCAGTAGATGATCCTCCTGCCCGTTTCCTGGCTCCGTCCAGGCGGCCAGCGGCCAGCACTGAATGTGTCCCTCCAGCTGCCTCCCCAGGGTGCCCAGGACTGGTGGCTCAGACAGGAGCCTGCCTGGATCAAAGCTTCATGGGGGGGGGGGGCGGCGCGGGGAGCAGGGGGCCAGCGGCTGCGGGCTCTGCTGCCCCCTGCAGGCCGAGCCGGGCACCGCAGCGCCGGGCAGTCAGTCCAGGGAGAGGTCGGCCAGGTTCTGGGTACAGTGCTGCAGGAAGTCGAAGTCCTCCACCGGGAAGGGCACCCGCGACCACTTCTTGGCCTGGATCCGGCTCTGCGGGGTCTCCAGGAGCAGGCTGCGCACTTTGAGCACCGGCAGGGTCACCGACTTGTAGATCATCTGCAGTCCCCAGCTCTGGGGGGGGCAGAGAGGACTGGGTCTGGGGCCCGGGCTCCTCCTTCCACGGCCGGCTCCCAGGCAGGGCTCCCAGCCCAGGGAGGGCTCCCCAGGGCGCCACGGCCTGCGCGCACCTCCCCACAGTTGCGGCAGCTAATGGCGCCCCCCGGCTTCCAGTCCTTGAAGACTCTGTCGATGACCACAGGCTCCCGGGACACGGTGTAGTAGAGCCTGGAGGGGAAGGGGGCGGCCGCAGCCCTCGTGGACCCTGGGCCCAGACCTTGCACCCTGCGGCCAGCGGACCTCCTCCCTTGCGCCTGTCCAGGGGCACTGTGGTCCCAGGGCCAAGATCAACCCAACCTCCGCAAGGGCCGCAGCCTCTACGCTTCCCAGGGGCTGCTGCCTCCACCCCACCCACCCGCCCGCCTGGCCCGCGTCTGCCCCCTTGCTGCTCCCGGGGTCTCAGCACGGGAGTTGGCCCCACACTGCTCTGCTGGAGTCCACTGGGGCTGCTCATCACCTCTGGGTTCAGGTGGCGCTTTGGGGCTAGACCTTTGGCACCCTGCCCCACTAGTCCGTCTGTGGTCTGCTGTCGGCATTCTGATCCCCACCATCTGTCCCTTCCCCCCAGGCCGAGGGGCCCGCCCCACTCTGCCATGCCCTGTCAGGCCTGTGTCATTTTCTACCCACCTTCTTGGAGCCAAATGCTGCCTCCTCACATAGGAAGCAGGGTGGGGACCCCTGGCATAGTGGCCTGACACTGAGGTGCCTAATAACGGCTCCCTACTGCATGGAGGAAGCTGGCTACCCTCCGCGGAGCCCTCCAGGGCATGGCTGTTAAAGACAGTCTTGCTGTATTGCGTAGGTGGGCCTTGAACTCCTGGGTTCAAGCCACTCTCCTGCCTCAGCCTCCCTCGAAGCTGGGACTGTAAGTGTACCACCACACGGGGCAACCAGCTTCTCTGAATGTCCTCAGAGGAGTTGGACGGGACCCAGTGTGTGGGCACAGAGCGTGTGACGCCGAGTTCCAGGTCCTGCTCTGTGACGCGGGGCTCTGGGAACCTGGGCAGGTCACTTAGCAGCTCTATTCCCTCACTTGTCAGACAGGGGCAGGGGTAAAACAGTGTCACCAGACGCTGCTCGTCAACCTCCGCCCCCAACCCTCCAAGCACTGCCCCACCCCGCTTCCTTCTCCTCCTGACAGCCCCTTCCACAGGCTCACGAGAAGTTGGGGTTCACGTTGACGTGGTGGGTGCCCTCGACCTTCCGCAGGTCACTGCCGTGGCCCACAGCCACCATGCAGTTGATGCAGAGGAGCCTCACGTGCTCCGCGGGGAACTGTCGCCGCTGTCTGTCCCTCTGCGTGGCCCGGGCGGCACGCTTGACCACGGCTTCGAGCTGCAGATCCCGGATCTGGGGGCCCAAGGGGGTGCAGTCAGAGCCCCATCCACAGGGCCCAGGGCCAGGTCGCGACCCCGCCTGCTGCAGACCTTGGCCTGGTACTCGGCCGGGTCCATCCTCTGCACGGCGGCCACTGCCTGTTCCATCAGGGCCTCCAGAGCCTCATTGGTCAGCTCGCGCCGCAGCTCCCGGCTGCCCTCCGTGGCCACGAACGAGTACACGCTCTGGCTGGCCCGTGCGCGGCCCCGCGCCTGGGGAGGCGGAGCACAAAGCTGAGTCTGACCAGGGCTGGGCGCCAGACCCCTCCGATCCCTCGAGGCGGGAGGGCCGAGCACCTGGACCATGGAGATCTCGTTGGTCAGCAGCCCGTAGCGCACCACCACGTTGCACTTGGCGATGTCCAGCCCCTCCTCTGCCACACTCGTGGCCACCAGAAGGTTCAGGGCGCCGGCCCGGAACTTCCGGATCACGTCCTGCTGGTCCCTCTGTTGGGGCACAGGCAGGACAAAGGCAGCCCCCGCCTCAGCCTGGGGACAGCACACGCCCTGGCCACAGGGTCCCCCTGCACCCCGCCAGGGCACAGCCCCGCTGCTGCCCCAGGCCCACACCTGGGTCATGTGCGCACTCTGGCTGCCGCTGCCCGCCCCGATCAGCATCTGGGCCCGGATGCCCGCCGTCCGCAGGCTGGGCTGCTGCTGGAGCCAGAGCAGCAGGGACTGGGCGCTCTGGCGGGTGCGGGTGAAGACAATGCCCCGGGGGTTGGCGGCACCCCTGAACTGCGCCTGCAGGATCTGCTCCAGCGTGTCCAGTTTGGGGTTCTCGGGGCCGTGTGTTGCCAAGCGGGTCAGCTCGTCCTTGTGGTCTGTGAGAAGCTGGAGGTCGGTGGGGCCCCAACACCTTTGTAACCAGCTAAGTCTGCAGCCCTTTTTAATTTCTTTGTTTTGAAAGAGGGTCTCAAAGTAGCTAAGATGCCCAAGCTGGGCTTGAATTTGCGATCCTCCTGCCTCAGCCTCCAGGACTGAAGGGATGACAGGTGTGCGCCATCACTACTGGCAACCTATTTTTGGATTTTTGATTGCCATTCCAACTACATGTTTTAAAAAATATCTGTCAATAAGGTAAATTCGTTTTCACAATTATGCTTACCTTTCACAGATAAGGAAATGAACCTGTTATATCCATGGCTTTCGATTTGGGTTTGAAAAACAGGGTTCTTCCCACGGGCCCCTCCCCAGGCTCCTCACCATCGAAGAGGCCCAGGAGCCAGCGCTCGGCGTGCAAGATCTGAGATTTGGTGGCGCGCTCCCGGTCACAGAAGTCCTGCAGCGAGGCCAGGGCGTCCACAGCGCGCACAGTGTCGTGGATGAGCAGCGCGTCGTTGTAGCGCCTCAGGTGGAGCGCGAGCACGCGGCGCTCCTGGAGCCCCGCCTCCGCGGCTGCGGGCGGGGCCAGGGTCGGGGTGGGGCGATGTGAGACCCCGCCCACGGGTGCCTCCAGCGTGGGCACCACCCCTGAGCGACCAAGCCCCGCCCACCGCGGCCAGGCCCCGCCCCCGAGTGGACAGGGCTGTCTCCGCGGCCCGCAGCACCTGTCTTGCACAGCTCCACCACCTGCTGCTCATACGTCTGCGTCCCAAAGTCTTGGGCCAACTCCGGCATTTCCGCGTGGTCGTGGATCTGAGCCATAAGCTTCTTTATCAAGTCCCCAAATGGGTCCTGGGCAAGAGGAGCGTGCGTGAGGGGGACCTGGCTGGAGGAGTGCCCGGGTCCTGCAGACAGCTCCTGGTCCACCCCCACCCCCATGCCCTGTTCACACTGGGCACCGGCCAGCCTTCCCGCTGGAGGACAGAGCTCGGTACACCCAGCAATGTCCTGGCTTGCACCAAGGGCCCTGACTAATGTCCACAGTTCCATCTGGGCCAGTCTGGGCAACTGTGGGCGTGGCTGTGCCCATGGCCCAGAAAAGACACAGGCCCAGTGCACAGGCCAAGGACCTAGAGTGTCCAGCTGCCGGGATGCAGGCAGCACAGCTCCCCACCCGGCCCGGCCCGCGCACCTGGCTGCGCCTCTGGCACAAGTCATACTGCTTGCAGGGCTGGGGACGGTGCTCCAGCAACTCTGGGCGGTGGGTCTTGGGCGACATAATGCACCACGTATCCAGGTTGGCACAGAGCTGCGGGCAACAGGGAGGGCTTCGCTGGGCCGGGGTTGAGTCTCAGGGACAGCGGGCAGGACTTTGAGGTGAGTGGGTCCCGGCGGAGGACCACAGAGCCTGACACAGGCCCACTGGGCAGGGGCACAGTTAGGATAGCTTAGTGAGAGCCTGCCTCAGCTGAACAGGGCTGGGATGGAGCTCAGCGTGAGGGTTGTGTCCCCAGTCCCACAGACACCAATGAGTAAAACTGGGTGAGAGCTGAGGTGCTCAGGACGAGGGGGCACAGTGTGGAAACAAGGCCGGGAGCTTGTTCCAAGGGCCCTGGGGGCAGGGAGCTGCGGGGTGTGAGGACACCTGGGGAGCCCGGGCTGGCAGGAGGCCCCTGGCCTGGCTGGGGCAGGAGGGGCCCAGGGCCCAGCGGACCTGCAGGATGTGCTCGATGGCGCCCTGGAGCTTGGAGTTCCCGCCCGTGCCTGGAGAGGCGGTGAGACCCAGCACCTGGGGCAGGTGCCGCCGCCTCTGCAGCTTCTGCTCCAGATACTGGCTCAGGATGACATTGTAGACGGTGCCCTTGTGCGTGTGGTGACACTCATCCACCACGATGAGGGAGAAGGCTGGAGCCGCAGGGAAGCTGGAGTCTACACCGTGCGTGGGGCCCTTCCTCCCCTTAGCCCTGCTTCCCCCAGCCCTGTCCATCTCAGACTGCCACAGCCCCGGAGGAGGGCCCAGGTGGGGGAGATCTGTGGCCAATTTGCAGATGAGTAAACTGAGGTTCGCTGGAAGAAGGGCCCCACCCCAGGTCTCTCTCTACAGCTCTGCCCGGCCCCGCACGCCCCGGCCGCAGAGGGCCCAGGTGTGCGTCCTCGCGGCCCCGGCCTCACCTGTGAGCTCCACGTGCTCCTCCTCCTCCGAGCTACTCAGTGCCATCTGCAGCAGCTCGGCTGTGCAGATGACCAGGTCGTGCTTCTGTGCCATGTGGCCGAAGCCCGCCCGTGCCCCCATGTCCCCACTCAAGGTGGCCATGGCCCAGCGTCCACCCAGCACGAGGCTGAACTCCTCAGCGTGCTGGGTCACCAGGTGCACCTGCGGGCGCAGACGAGGTGCGGACAGAATGCTGGCTTGGGCGGGCGGGGAGCAGGGAGGGGTGAGGGGACCCCCAACCTCCCGGCTGGTGTTGGACGGGGGCAGCAGCTGGGAGGGCTGGGGCCGCAGAGGGCACCAAGGTGCCCGCAGGCTGAGCCACTCACCCTGTTGACCAGCACCACCACTTTGGCTCCATCGACTGTTTCCAGGTGCCTCTTGGCCACGTAGGCGGCTGCCCGGGTCTTGCCCGCGCCCGTGGGCAGCCAGATGATGATGTTCCGGCCCTCCAGGGCGGGCATGATCACCTCCCACTGGTAGGGTCGCAGAGCCATGGCCTCAGCCCAGCAGCTGCCCCTGCCCCTGCCCCCTCCACCGGCGCGGGAGCCTGCTTCCCCTGGACTCGGCCAGCCGAGGGAGCTGGTGGGCTCCTGAGACCCGCCTGGAACCCCGCAGAGGCACAGCCAACAGGGCTTGAACACTCAGAGCCTCAGGGCTCTGGGGAACCTGCCTTCCCGGCTGGGAAAAGGAAACCGAAGCCAGGGGGAGGAGCCAGCGGGCGGCGGCGCTGACTCAGCCTGCAGAGGGCGCAGCACGCGGTCTGGGCTCTGGAAAGCAGAACCAAGACCTGGCGCACCAGGCAGGCGGGGAGGAGGGGGCGGCCGCACCAGAGCCCCGCAAGAGCGGCTGCACCGGCAGAGGGTCTGACCTCACCGGCCCCGGCAGGGGACAGGAAGAGCCTGCGGCGGGGACAGTGGTGACAGAGCCTGGCGGGTGCCGCTGGCCCCCGAAAGGGGACTGGCATAGGCATGCAGGGGCGGGGCACTGAGACAATCACACCGGGGAAAAAACACAGAGCTTTATTGTTCCCTTGGAGGGTTACTGAGTGGTCCCCACACCCTCGGCCTGGGGGACAGACCACAGGGCAGCGCAGGGCCAGCCACAGCCCCTGCAGCCGGGCTCGCGGGGTTGGAGCCTGAAGTCACTTGCTGAAGTGACAAGAACAGTCGTGGCCCTCGGGGGCAAGGCCACCAGACCGGGACCCCAAGGTTCCGTGGCTGAGGGGCCGGGGCCGCCAGGGCCAGGCAGAGTGCGTCCTCCCGCCGAGTCTGGGCTACTTGTCGATGAGCCCGCCCTCCTTGAGCTTGAAGTAGAAGAACTTCTCCAGCGCGCTGGCGCAGCGGCAGTACTCGCTGTCCGGCGGGTTGTACTCGCGGCAGTTGGCGATGACCCGCTGCAGGTCGGCCACGAAGAGCTTTCGGGTCACGTAGTAGCGGCTGCGCAGCCGCTCCGTCATGGTCTTCAGGTCGATGGGGAAGCGGATGACCTCGTAGTAGTCCGGGGCCTCCGATTTCTTCACGGGCTCCATGAAGGGCCAGGCGCTGGGGTGCGACTGCAGAGAGCGCGGAGTGAGGGTGGGCCTGAGCCGGGGCCGCCCAGTGCCACCGCCCACCCCGGACGGGACAGAGCGCATCGCCCCAGTGTAGGACGCACCTTGATCTGGGCCAGCAGGTTTTTGAGGGTCGCGTACAGCTGGTCGGGGTCCTTGAGCTCCTTGCTGGGGTGAGAAGCCAGGTCTCAGGCTCTTCGTCCCGACTCCCCACGCCCCAACACCAGCCCTGCGCAACTCACTCACCCCTTCTCCTTCCCCAGCGGCTTCCAGCCAGTCTCGCCTGCAGCGGGGAGGGGGAGGGGGAAGGGGAGGGGACAGTGAGCCTGAGCCCCCGTCCTCGCAGGCAGGGACCCCGCCCACCCGCCCCGGCCCGCTGCTCACGGATGCCGGGGACGCTCTCCACAGGGATCTGCCGCACGCCCTCCTTGAAGCAGCTGAGCCCTGGGTAGACCTTACGGATCTGGGCCTGTTTACGCTCGATCAGCTTCTTGATGATCTGAGGGAGATGGGCGATGAGACTCCGGGGCCCCCCAAAGGGAAAAGCCCCGGATCCTGACACCCCTTTCCTAAGTTCCTGCAGAGCGGGCAAGGAGTGCAGGTGCAGGGCTCCACGCATGCGCACAGCCGCGGGGGGGGGGGGCAGAACCACACCTCCTTCTGCTTCTTGATGATGTGCGACAGCTCCGTGTAGGGGATCCGGGGATTCAGCTCGCACTCCATCAGCGTGGCCCCCTCGTAGTCCTTGATGTAGCCCAGGTAGCGGCTCTTGGGGACCTTGATGTCCTTGGAGAAGCCCTGGGGTGTGCAGCAAGCGCCCTGTCCTTCAGCACACACTTCTGAGTCTCAGGGCCAATCCCCCCCCAGGTGTCATGTGGACTCCATGTGTCCCGGCCGGTGACAGCAGAGGAGAAGGAGGACAGGGCGAGGACTTCCTCACAGGTGCCAGAAGGAGCAGGGACGTGCGGACGGGGCAGCAGGTGAGGCCCGGCTCACCTGCTTCTTGAAGTAGCCGATGGCGTACTCGTCGGCGTAGGTGAGGAAGTAGAGAATGCCGTGCTTGATGTGGTACTCCTTCAGGTGGTTCATCAGGTGCGTGCCGTAGCCCTGCAGGGAGCGGGCGTGGGCTGCAGTGGGCAATCTGAGCGCGGGAGACACCATCTCCCGCACACAGCGGGACCACAGAGAGCTGGGTCATCTGTTCAGGACACCAAGGGGCCCTCCCGCGGGTCTGCGGGGCAGGAGGGGGAGGGTGTTTGCCAGTTAGCTCCCCGCTGCAGCAGGAGGACCATGATGAAAATGGAGGTTCACGTAAACAGGGCTGCTAGCTGGGGCACAGCTCAGGGCAGGGAGCTGGGGCAGCACACAAGGGGCCAGGCCCGAGGCCCAGCACCGAAGGTAAAAAGTAAACAAGAGAATGAAAGAAACCCTGCTGACGCTCAGGCTCTATTTGTCACAGGCAAGTCCCTTTTCTTGCCAGCACAGAGCTCCACCTCCAGTCCACTTGTTTGAGACAAGATCTCACTAAATTGCTAAGTTGCCCAAGTTGGGCTCGAACTTGGGATGCTCCTGCCTCAGCCTCCCAAAGTGCTGGGATTATAAGCACCTAACCGCAACAGGGGATGCCCTAATACATAGTTCCTAAATTCCAGCTGCCCCCTGGTGGGATCGTGAAGAACAGACTCTGCCACGGAAAGGGGCCCGAGGCTGCCACAGACCTAGCCTGTGCTCACCTTGACCTGCTCATTGGAGGTGACAGCGCAGAAGACAATTTCGGTGAAACCCTGGGTGGGGAACATGCGGAAGCAGATCCCACCGATGACGCGCCCGTCCTTGATCAGGGCCAGCGTTTTGTGCTTCCTGGGGGAGAGAGGTGTGTCACAACCCTGCAGGTTGCCCAAGGCCCTGGTTGTGGTAAGGGCAGGAGGACTCAGGATGGGGCAGGTGGCATCCCCTGGGCGTTGCGGGAGAACGCACGGGTCGAAGACGAGGCGGGCGATGTACTCCTTGGGCATGCGAGGCAGCTGGTGCGAGAAGACGTTCTGCAGCCCCACGAGCCACAGCAGCACCCGCCGGTTGGCCTTGGGCGCCAGTGAGTTGCCGATGACGTGGAACTCGATGATGCCGCGCCGCTCCTCCAGGCGGGCCGTCTCATCGCGCGCTGCGTTGGCCGACAGCAGGCTGGTCTGCGGGTGGAGGGCGGTGAGTGGGGGCGGGGGAGGGTCCCGGGTCCCGCCCCACACAGTCAGCAGGCCCAGCAGCCCACCTCGGGGCCCAGCATGGCGGCGGGGTCAGTGATGGTCAGCATGACTTCGTTGACCAGCTCCATGGGGATGTCACCCATCACGCGCAGCCGCTTGGCGTCCTCCAGGGTCAGGTTCTCCGGCAGCTTCCTCTTCTCTCCTGCAGCAGGAGGGTGGCAAGGTCACTGCCGAGGAGCTGAGCCGTGGGTGGGCAAGGTCAGGGGTCAGGCGTAGGGGGTCAAGGCTCACCCGGCATGGGCTCAGCTCCCGTGGCGTCTAGACTCAGGGAGCTGTTGCTGCCCCCTCCCATGGTGGGGCTGAAGATCGGGGTGCTGGGAACCACTGCAGCGCTGACCGTGGCTGAGGGACAGAAAGAGAGTCAGGGACAGGGACAAGGAGGTCATCTGGCCCCTCCCGGCCTCAGCCAAGCCCCCAGCACTTCCCCCTCCAAATCCTGCGGTGCCACCCACCTGGCCTGGGCACCAGCTGTGTCCCCTCCGAGGGTGGCATGGTGAAGCCTGACTCCCAGATGGGTGAGTTTGCCCCATAGATCTCCTCCTCCAGCATGGACAGAAACCTGGGGGCGGTACGGATGGTACTGCTGTTCCATCACACAACCTGGGCGGCCCGGGGGACCGACACCACCCGCGGGAACCTGCTCTCGAGCATGGGGAGGCTGAGATGAGAGACGGCGCTGCCCTGGGGGAAGCCCTAGTCCTGCACCTTTCTAACTGGAGGCAAGAAACTGGGACCTGCCTGGGACGGCAGAGCGCAGGAGCTGGGCTCTGAGCGGAAGCCCCTGGTGCTCTGTGGCCAGGCAGGGCTCCAGTCACCTCTTGTCCCCGCCCCCAGGCTTGGTGGGCATGGTGTCTCCTGACTGTAAGCTCTGGCTTTTGGGGCGCAAAGTCCCGGCAGGCAGGATGGAGCCTCACTTGGGGAAGTGGGTGAGGATGAGGGTCCTCTTCTCAGGCACCAGCTTGTCCTTCTCCACTCGGAACTTTTCCAGCAGCTGCCGGCGTGTGACGGTGAAGATGGACCGAAGCAGGCTGCGCCCGAAGACGTGGGTGGTTTCGTAGCGAGGGAGGCTGTCACAGCTCTGGGGTACGTGGCAGTAACACAACCACCTAGGGGCAGGGGCGGCAGGTGAGGGTGGAAGCCGAGAAGCCGGGAAAGGCTGCAGGGCTCCGGGCAGGCTAGGCCCACCTGGTGTAGTTGACCTTGTAGGCGGCCACGTCCTCTGACTGAGACCTCTGCCGGAACTGGGCGGGCGTCTCCAGCTTCCAGTAGTTGAGGCAGAGCAAGAACATCTTTGAGAGCTCAAACATGGTCTGGCGCTCCCGGGGAGCCAGGTGGCTGAACTTGTACTGCACGAAGTTGAGCACACCCTGGGGAGGGACAAGCCGGAAAGTGGGTCCACGTCAGGCCTGCTCTGAACCTCACTGGCTCTCAGCACCAGGAGGACCCAGGAGGACACAAGCCCCCCACTGGGCCAAGCCACCTCCAGCCTCCCCGTCCCAGTCCCCAACCCACCTGCTCAATGTTAGGCTTCTCAAATGGGGGGCTGCCCAGTGACCCCTCCACCACGGGCCGGGTCATCTGCAAGATGCATTTCCTCAGGAGCTGGAGGACAGGGACAGCGAAGCTCTGAGCTACAGAACCCCCAACGCCCGACACAATGTACCGCTTGACCCCCCACACCCTCCCTGGAAGCTCACCTTGAAGAGGTAGAAATACACCTGCTTGGTGTCGGTGTCCTCCTCCTTGTGCACGGACATGAACAGGTTCTCCACGTCCACCACCATGCCCAGCAGCCGGTTGATCTCGTCCTCGGATACGTTCTCCAGGTGGGACACGTGGTCAGCTGCGTGGGGACAGGTGGGGACGCTGGGAAGGCCTCCGAAGGGCGGCCCACGCCCCTGACTGCCTGGATTTCCGGGGAGTCCCAGCCCTGCCCGCGCTTACCCAGGGGGTGCTCACAGCTGCGGCACAGCTCGCCCAGGTTGGCAGCCGGCTGCTGCAGGTCCATGCGGGGCGCGGTGGGCGGCTTGGGGTTCTTCCAGCCATTGCACTTGCAGGTCTCGGTGGCCTGGGGCGGGCGGGGCGGGGCGTCACGCTCGTGCACCCCGGGCCGGGGTCTGCGCCCCACGCCC